AGCGTGTTGAAAGAAGAACAAAGCGTTCCTCTGTTGCATCTTTCCCGGCGTCTCTTCTGTTCCTCACATTAATCGTTTTGTAGCTTGTTAGCGAGAAGTGTTAACGAGAGCTGTGTGCTGATTGGACGGCTGTGATTAGCTGCCAAAGTGTTTAAAACGCTGAAAGAAACGTCGACAGGGAAACAACCTTGAACATTAGAAATGGTTTAGCGGAGTTTGGTCGGGCTGTTCTGAGAGGAAACAGGAAACATGAGGACACGATGACGGTCTGAGAGGCCTTCAGGGAGGAGGCAGCTGATGGAGGTGGCGACAGGTAAGACTGATCAGTCAGCTGACGGGTTGTTTCGGTGTGGAGGTGGTGGAGGTGTGGTTTTACTCTGTTAGTCTGTCACACGACTGTTTTTATCACGATATCTCAACCGAACGATGGATCTGACAGCTGCTGACTGACGGTCGCCATGCCAACACCTCTGAATCCAAGTGCAGCCATGTTTGAGGGGGAGGTCATGTGACCCTGCGGTAGAACAGGACAAAAACAGGAAACATTTCTATTAAATGTCAGCTCTTCACTTTAACTCTGAACAGATCTACAAACCTCTGCAACAAATACCACGAACAGCAAAATCAGTTTTAAAGCTGGAAGATCCAAATCTGACCTGAAAACAAAGCTCTTCATGCTGTTTGTAGGTCAAACCCTTTCTTTGAAAAGTAAGCTGTCAGGTAGGTTTCCTCTTTCTACGTCTCCAGAAAGAATGTGACAACCAATCACAGCAGGCTGTCCCTGCCACTGATCCAGTCTAGCATCAGTCACACAGAGCGAAGAGTAAAAAGTGTTTCATGCGTTTCAGATTCTTTGAGAGGTTTAAAATTGTCTTCAGACAATCGCCGACGAGCTTTGGTCAGAGCTGCAGGAAGCAGCCTGCTGGCATCACGCCGGCGCTCACAGAGTTAAAAACACTGACTGGGATCAGCGTGTGGCCGATGCAAAGATCAGACAGGTGCGATGCATCAGGTGTTCCCTGCTGACATTTAATCTCCTCTGAAAGGTTAATCTGAGGCTTTTAATTTGGCGCAGGGCTTTTAATGTGAAAATTGTCAGACAGATGGAGCTCCGTCAGGCTGCTGATTAAAACAACAGCAGTTTATTATCAGCGACTCATTAGAAACAGGAAATGATTATCAGAAACACACCGATCAATAAGTCTGACCTCAGGTATGAATAAACAACCAGAGCTGAAGTTTGGATTTATTAACAATAATCAGAAAACAAGAGAGAAAAAATAAAGAAACAAAAGGACAGTAAAACAAATAAATCTATCCAAACAATAAAATAATAAATACAAATTTATTTTAAAAACATTTCACAGGAAAATAAATGAATGAACAAATAAAAAAAATAAATAAATTTAAAAAAAAACAGGCTTCAGGCTATGGCGTCTATCTGAACAGCAGTAAAGCCTTGAGCTCGACACAACAGCTAAAGACACTTTCTGTTCGTACTCACCACAAAACAAGCTACTGCTCCAACCCAGCCAATCAGGATGCAGATTACAGAACACTGATCTAAACTGAAAACAACGAAAAGATGGACCAGACACTGAGAAGACGGAAGAAGCTAGACGAGACGAATGTTCTGGCTGAACACTTCAACTGTGAGACGTTACAACATCAACCTTAGAAATAAAGGGCAGAACTGGAGCGTTTCAGAGAGGCTCGCCTCAGCAGCCCCATCGAGTGGGCACATAGGCTGCACGGCCAAAACATCCCAAACGGCCCAACCCGAACGATCATCAGGACGAGGCGAGGTGACGAGAGCGGCCGCGAAGCACCACAGACGCCATGTGATGATTTTCTCTGCGCTGACGAGAGAAACCGGGTGAAACAGCAGCTCCTGTGGACTGATCTCCCATCACGGCAGCCGGCACCTCCTCCACTCCATCAGAGGTGGAAGAATTCATACGAAAGACCCGGAAACAAAATGATGGATAAATTCATGTCCACTCTGGAAGTGATGAACAACCTCAGCTCAGAGAAAATAACACGCTGTAGTCGTAGCTGTGCAGGCATGACGCAGGCATGACGCAGGCATGACGCAGGCATGACGCAGGCATGACGCAGGCATGACGCAGGCATGACGCAGGCAGCCTTAGACATGTAATATTTAATTCCTGTAAATGTTATTTGGCTTCTCAGTTAATATGGTCGCAGTGAGTTTAAAGCTTTGAATTAACAACAGGATGTTTTTTCTGCTCCTATACGATCAGTAGCCAAACAAGTTTCAGTGACAACAGGAGGGAATCTGTGACATTTCCACAGGTCGGGTCCTGGGTTGTGCTTTATAAGAGTTGAGTGTTTTAAATAGTCATTTTCGTTCCTACAGCTGAGACGAATGCAGTCAGTTTGTTTAAAGGGCACAAACTGAATGAAACTGATCTCCTGGAGTGTGAGAGGCCTTAGGAAATGTATTAGACTATAGAGAGTAATGAAGAGACTCAAACAATGTCACCCAAAGGACGTCTTCATTCAAGACACACCCGTGTGGGAGTGAAATCGCTCGGAGAAGGACGAGGTTCAGGCTTTTTCTACCCACCTCTCATCACATGCTGATGGAGGTGGGGACATAAATCATGACCCATCTTAGACCCACAGGGAGCTTCATCATCATACAGTGCTCAGTGATGAACAAAGACTTCATTATGGTTCATTTATACGGCCCAACACAGGTGACCTCAGCTTTTATATGTTCCTCTATACTGCAGCTCTAACTGTACCTTAGATCCTGGGCTTGACAGATCATCAGGTTCAGACTCTGAGATGCAGAGTTATACAACATTTCATGTCCGAACTGAGCCTAAAATGCAAGGAGACGAGAAATCCCAACACAGAGAGCACAGTCCTGTCGCTCAGCCACAGTCGCATAGATTGTTTCCTTATTTCAAACTCTCAACTCATCGATCTTTAGCATTCAGCCATCACTGCTGGGTACATAACCCAAATTCACTGATGACGGTTTCTACTTCACTAACTCTGAAGCTACAGCCTCAGTCAGAGGGGGGGGCCTTTGAGGTAATTATACATGGACAGATGATGGTTTACACAGAAAACAGATCAAATAAACATAAAACTGAGATGTTGGACTTGATGCTCAAATAACAGAAGTGGAACTAGAACTAAAAACATGATAAATTAGGTTCAGACAGCATCAGCCGAGCGTCGACAGACCTGCGGCGATCAGGGAGCGAGAGCAGGAAAACTTTGGTGCATCAAAGTGAACGAGAGAGAAACAATAAATGAAATTAGAACTGCAGATGAAAACATCACAGATCCTCAGAGAACAAATGTAATGCACAAATTAAAAGCAGGAAATATTTTACCTTTGTAAAGTATTTAAAGACACAGTGTTGCGCCCCCTGTAGGATAAGTTAGTGGAACGCTACACTTTAAAAGAGCTACCTCTGTCTATGCGTGATGATAATGGTACTGCCCAAACCTGGGAAACCACCTACGAAATGTGAATCCTACCAATCCCACTAATACAGATCCCAAGTTCACAGTACTGGCAAGCCGACTTGAAGGGGAGCTTCATCTCTCTGCACAACGTAAACATGCAGACATGGCTCTGCTTCAGCTGGACGCAGAACAAGCCTTTGACAGCGTCGAGCAGAGCTAGCTTTATGAAGCACTTCCTCAGTTCAGCTTTGGCACTTATTTTACGACTTAGGTTAAACTAATGTAACATAAACTGAGAGCCTCAGTTATACCAACAACATCTATACCCTTCAATCTAAGCAGAAGTACATGTAAAGGTAAATGATGAAAGGTACATA